CTTCTAAGATACGTTTTACTTTCCAGTTTTATCAACATGGCTCAGAACCTGGCCAAACTTACAATAGAGTGAATTATATATATCATATTCACATTCTTCCAATGTCAACAAACAAATGAGACTCAAGCTCAAATCAAACACTTCATACTTCCAGATTGATACACATTTTAGTGTTTTATCAATAAAACACTTCTATATAAATAAGCACACATAAAAGTGATGCTAATGGAGTCCATCCCCTATCTCCTCCCAAACAAAATCCGGTTTAGAGGTCCATCCCCTATTTTCCCCTAAACCGTGGAGTCCATCCCCTATCTCCTCCCAAACAAAATCCGGTTTAGAGGTCCATCCCCTATCTTCCCCTAAACCGTTTGAGTAACCAAAAACACTTCTATACTTCACAAATGATACACATTTTAGTGCTGTATCAATATCAAACAAAAACACTTCTAATATCAATAAGCACACATATAGTGGTGCTAATGGAGTCCATCCCCTATCTCCTCCCAAACAAAATCCGGTTTAGAGGTCCATCCCCTATCTTCCCCTAAACTGTGGAGTACATCCCCTATCTCCTCCCAAACAAAAATGCATATACAATGTATTAAACACTCGTCATATACAACACACAATCAATACATGTATTTTCTGTATTAATTCAACAGTCTAAATCAATGACTTAACCAATGTGATTAGTTTCAGTTTTTCCTAATCCACATGCAATGTCTACAACAATCACGACTATCCTCCACCGATAGCCCAAAACAGTTATTTCTAAACAGGAAATAAATGTATCAACTAACGTAATTCCAACATTTTCCATAGGTGAGTGATTAAACTAACCTACTACTCCATTTAATCAATAAATTCATTAATTCCATGAATTCAACTAAATTCCCCAATTTTTCCTAAATTAATTATATAAATTAATTTATTATAACAACTAGGGGTTTTTCCAAAATTACCAAAGTATCCCCAACATATCAAAATACCAAAACTTAGAACAAAACTTATAGAATGGAGTAGGAAATCCCTACCTCAAGTTTAGAAGGGGAAGGAGGAAGAAAACCCAAAAGTCAACGGAGGAGAAACCAAGCTTTGCTCCGATCAAAATGAAGCCCTCGACAAGCTCTACACTTTATCTCAAAGGAGCAAGGTGAGTAGAGGTCTCCAAACAAGTAGATCTAAGGATCTTTGAGTAAAAAGTGCCTTTTGAGAGAGAGAGAAGGTGTTTCACGGTTTGGAGAGAGGAAAGGGAAGAAAAAGTGAGAGAAAAGGTCAAGTGAGGGCCTTTATATAGTACTAGGTCAAAAATAGATATAAGCCCCAAAGTCAACTCAAAATATCTAGTCAAAATATCCCCAAAAAGTAGGTCCAAACCGTGAGAAAAATCTGGGGAAAAGTCGCAGGTGTCGACCCTTCACAACACAGGTGTCGACCCCAAAGAAGAAATCTGGAACACTAAGTGTGACTGCACTGCAGGTGTCGACCCTTCCCTAGGCTGGTGTCGACACCAAAATGCAGTGAACAAATTCAGAACAAGGGTCGACCCTTCCCAGCTTTGGTGTCGACCCTTATGGCAAACAAAAGAGAAGGTGTCGACACCACCAAGACTGGTGTCGACCCCAGAACATGGTTTTTCAAGTTTCCAAACAACTTTTCAACGCGAACGAGCGTGAACGAGCAATCCCAACAAGTTTAAATCAATTTGTACACCTCCAAAACTGAGGTACAACAACACCAAAGATTCCCAAAATAAAATAAAGGGTTCAAATACATTTACCAAAAGCTTTAAAGGGCTCAAGTGCTACAGAAATGGTAAAGCGATGTAGTGGTTTGCCATTAGCAATCATTGTGCTTGCTGGACTTTTGGCAGCAAAACATACATCAAGGGAATGGGAGATGGTATATCGAAATATTCAGTCACATAAGTGGAGCGACGACCACAAACAACTTGATGATGGAGTATCAAAGGTGTTAGCTTTAAGCTACCATGACTTGCTATATCAATTAAAGCCATGTTTTCTTTATTTCAGCCACTTTCCAGAGGATTCTGAGATAGATGCCAAAAAACTATATCACTTGTGGATGGCTGACGGTATCTTGTCAACTGATGACAGAGAGAAAGATGAAACAATGATGGATGTGGCAGAACGTTACTTGGGTGCACTAGCACAAAGGTGCATGGTTCAAGTAAAAGTAGAGAAGTCTACTCAAAGGATCTAGTGTTGTCGCATTCATGATCTCATGCTAGAGTTGTGTTTGTCAAGGCAAAAATGAACGACTTTCTTGGGATCATTCATCTCCAACGCGAAACTGATCTAGTTGATTGCTTCTCCACCACATCAACGACTACTACTAAAATACGCAAACTTGCAGTTCATTTGAATAGGGATGTCGAAAGAGTTGTCCTTCCTAACTTAGAGGTAACTCAACAGCTGAGATCGATATTATTCTTCATTCCGAGAAGCCACGGGGAAGACAAGCATTCGTTAGAACACTTGAACTCCCCTTTCAAGTAGTTCAAATTGCTCAGGGTTTTAGATCTTGATAGATTTAAGTTTGATGAAAAATTACTCGAATCAATAGGGAACCTAATTAATTTGAGGTACATGAGTTTTAGAAAATGTTTTATACCAAAGTGGCATTCATCTATCTGCAAGTTGGGATACTTGCAAACCTTGGATTGACGAGGTTGCATCATCTCAAGTGAAGTACTAGTCTTGCAAGGAATGGAATGATTGATGCATTTGTATATTTCTTATAACTCAGATATCAGAAACAAATTCAAATTGGATGGCTTGAGCAATCTCGAAATATTAGAAGGGTTCGACACAAGGGCCTATGACATCGATGATCTGTGCAAATTGATCAATCTTCGACAACGAAAATAAGCACCTTTCTCAAAGAGGGACAATCAAGACCTTGCAGCATTCATCAACTATCTAAGCACCAGCGCAATCCACCTTTGGCAAACATCCTTATCAATTTATGGATGCAATTTTTCTTCTGAAGAAGAGTTGATTCTTCTCAAACAATTGTTAGGGTGTCGGCGTCTTTACAAATTGTCTATATGGGGACTTATTCACAAATTACCAGAGTACCAATGTTGCTCTCCTAGCCTCACCGAGTTAGCCTTGTGGGAATGTGAACTTAAACAAGACCCTATGCCGACATTGGAGAGGCTACCTAACCTACAAAACCTTGCACTATGTTTGGTTGGGAAATTTGGGGAGGAATTTGGAAAGGAAAAGGGAAAAGGTGTGTGAAATTAGGTGAAATATAGGTATGTTTTATTCACATTTCACCTACCTTTTCCATTTCCCTTTCCAAATCCCTCCTCAAATCTCTCAACCAAACACAGCATTAGTGTGAATAGAAATGCCTTTGTAGGGGACGAAATGGTTTGCTCTACTAATGGTTTCCCCAAACTTGAAACCCTAGAGCTGTGTAGGTTGTCCCTCATAGAGGAGTTGAGGGTGGAAAAGGGAGCCATGCCCAATCTCTCTACTTTAACCATTGTTTGTTGTAGAGAGATGAAAATGGTTCCAGAGGGACTGAGATTCATTACAACCCTTCAAAAATTTGTAGTTAAGAGGATGAGTAAAACATTTTATAACAAGCTTCAAGGGGTCGATGGGGAAGAAGGAGAAGACTTTTACAAAGTGCGACATGTGCCTTCCATCAACATTTTGTAGATTTCTAATTTCTAAATAATCCTTTCCGAGGTAATTTTAGTTTTCAAAATGAGTTACTTTCCCCTCTTGTATTTGAGAACTTTTAAATAAATTTCTCCTTACACCTATATATACAAATATTTCTTCATAAGGTATAAGATTTACAATGCGATTAGTAGGCGTAAAACAAATAAATAAATGGGATATTTAGAATTTATCCTTGTTTTTTAATAGACATATACCCCCTCATTTTGAATTTAAAAAAGAAAAAAAAAATTGCATGGTAAGTCTTAACAGCCTTGAAAAATAATTATATTATAAATTGTCTTGATACTCCAACAAGGTTAAACACCAAAAATATATAAAAAGCTCTGTACAAGTATGTACATTATTCCATATTTTGCATCTGAGTTTCTATATCCTCAATGTTTATCAATGGAAAACCAATATGTCAAAAATTATCTTTTTTTACTATGAACATAAATGTTCAACTTTCATTTTTTTTTTCTCTCTCATCTTATTTAGAGCATCTTATTGGTTAAGAGAGACACTATGGTGATCATCACAAGGAGGTTTATCATCATAAATGAAACTATATGGGGTCTCCTTTATTTTGAGTCTAATCTAAGGGGTAAAGAGTTATTTGTCCAAGGAAACAAAAATCAAACTACTTAACAAGCATTCAACAAACCAAAATTAACAACTCTACAAGAGTTTTATCCTTGTCTTGGGAAAACAAATAATGTGATAACGATTTGCCCATGTGGGAGACCATTCTGCCTATGATGACCACAAAATCCTGTATATGACAAGCACAACTCTCCATAGAGTACCTTCACCTCAACTACATTCTTCTTTAGTTAGGCAGTTGATTAATTAATGTGTATGAGAGAGTGAGAGAGAGAGAGAGAGAGAGAGAGAGATAGAGACAGAGAGAGAGGTTGTTGTTCTGTATATTCTCGAATGTGCATGAGGTGTTATGTTCCCCTTCTGATCATTTTTGTATAAACTTAACCATCAGTGGATTCCATGCCCAACCTTTGATTATCAAATGGTTTTTAACAGAAAGTGGACTACAATGAAGGCCAAATCCAGCAGTCAGAACTCTATAACATTTCAAATAATGACCCAAAAGAAAAAAAAAACTACTTGTGAATGTCTAAAAGGGTGAAGTGTCATTGAGTCAATTATATTCTAAAAACCATGCCACAATCAAGCCAAAGTCTCACACAGATAAATACACAATGATTACTTTGATTTCATGATTAATAATCTGAGGGAGCCCAACTTTGAATGCCAAGTTCTATCAATTCTTCCTCCCTTCAGACAAGATAATGTGGTATCCATGCCTGTACCATCACTAGCATAACAAAGTTAGCCGGCCTGAGCAACATGAACAGCATAAGATAGAGCTTAATACATGGTTAGCAGGTTTGAAGAGCAAAAATCAGGAATTAAAATAGCATACATTGATTTAAATGGTGCACTGGTAGCTCCAACAGGTGTGCTAAAGGCAACATCCTGAAATAGGCTAGCCATCTTGCCACACGGAAACCATCTGAAGTCTCCAACCTTCTTCCCTGATGTACACTCTGAATATTCTGCTACTAGCTGGAAGAAAAAGACAGAAAATCAGCACAGAGATGTCAGTGTTATGGCTCTTTCAAATTTTCCTAAGACAATATCTTGGCCAAAAATTCTCTTTAGGAGAATGTATAGAGAACACCCAAACCATTTTCTTACGCTCATTTTTTTTCAGCGGAAAACATTTTCCAACAAAAACATTTTGCGTCATTGAAACTAATGTACTAATGATTGTATTAGTGGTGGTGAGGTGGTGGTGGCAGGGTGACAGTGATGATGGCAAGAGCAGTGGTGGTGATGTGGAGGAGGTTGTGGCGACGGCGGTGGCAGTATGGTGGTGCTGTTGCTAGTGGTGGTGCTGTTGCTAGTGGTAGTGTGGTGGGATTGGTAAGACTTTAGTCTAGAAAACGTTTTGCATCTTTAAAAGTGCAAACATTTTCCGCCCAAATAAGTTTATTTTTACCACATAAAACATTTTTTTGTTGACTTTCATTTTTCATTGTACGAAACGCCAGAAAATAAGAGAAACATTTTCCCACCTAAACATATGGAACGCTAGTTAACTTTGAGCATGTTGTGTTCATGCAATTTGTTTCCAATGACCAAGGTTTTGTAATGTAGTACTTCAAAAGCATTAAGTTGAAGAGATGATGATTATTTAGCACATTTTAGAAGGCTTGAAAGTAATTAAGTAGCCAAGTGAAAATTATGAACCCCTTGAATACCTAAATAAAAACGAACTAAATACAATAAAAACAGGTTCACCATCAAGATCATAAATTATCACAAAAAATATTAAAGAGTCAAAAATGATCCCCTCAAAGTTCAAAACCATCCTATATAAAAAATAAATAAATAAAGTTCAAGACCAGAAATTGATACTGACACAACCTTGACCAACAAATGTAAAAGTTTAAACTTAAATGTGTTAAAACAGAATGAGAAAATGGAAAATGTAATGGGAATATCACCTTTGCGAACTCAGCAGGTGGAACCTTATCGCCATTACTAAGTCAGACATCTTCTAGCTTCTTGTATGCTTCATTAATCTTCCCTTGCTTCTCACGAAAGCTATGCCTTGCTAAAACAAAATCCAAAACCCAGAGTCAAATCAGGAGACTCAACATACTAAATAAATTGCAGTTAAAATAACATAGAAGCTCCTGAAAAACAGATTAAGGGGAAGAAACAACCTTTGACATATGTGCAGGTACCAAGCCCATCTGTCTTCACACCTTTTCCTTTACCTTTTGAAGCAGTATCATCACTTCCTCCCACTGCCTGTTTTCCCTTTCCCTTTCCTCTTGACTCCTTTGCCTTTGAGTCCTTACCCATGACTCTTTAACCTTCTATATAAAACCACAATATGAAGACCTTAATGAACAAGGAGTGAGCATTGGAAGAGCTTAAAATCACACCCCACAAAACAGCAATTGCTTAAAGGCTAGCCAATTAAGATGACCATTATCACATACATAACAGATATGTTTAACATATAGTAAGATTTGCTTAAGCTCATTCCTAAGAAATCTATAACTTTTGGGCTATGTTCAGATTTGCTTGAGCTCTCTCTCTCTCTCTCTCCCTCTCCATGATTTTCTACATATCCACAACCCTAGCTCAACACTATATTAATATAGTTATCTATATGTATGTACATATTGTGCGTCATTGTGTGTGTCTATGTTCCCAAATGCATCTACTAATTCTTAGCATTTTAGATTTTAAATCCTTAGATTTGAATCCACATCCAAACTCAAATCCATGTTTCTAGTGCAATCCTAGGAAAATGGATAACGAGCTACAAGAAAGAATACGGTACGAAATATGTAAGTGGCTGAGCCAGAAATGTAACAAAAATAAGTATAAGAATAGACTATGCAAAACAAAAATAAAATTAAAAATGAGAGCATTTGACAACAAACAATAGAACAATGAAATTTTTTGCAGTTGAGCTAGTTAAGAAATAAACACTTTTGAGATAATTTATGATCTTTGATTTCTAATAATGAGGATAAGTGAAAATTGAAAACCAAGAGATACTTAAGAGTGAACAATTTCATTATCTAGATTCAATTATTAATAATGATGGAGAGAGATTGGAGATGATGAGGCCCATAAACTAACGTAGGTTCGTTAGAGTGGAGGAATACTTCTGGCAACATATGTGATGACGTATACCAACATAATTGAAAAAGTAAATTTATAGAACAGTTATAAGGTCAGCAACGCATCATAAGACAAATGTTGAGAAACTAAGAAATAACACGCAAGTAAAATGAATGAAGCTGAGATGAGAATGTTAAGGTGGATGTGTGGTAAGACCATGAAAGGTAGAATCATAAATAAATTTGTTTGTAAAATGGTAAAAGTAGCACCAACTGAACATAAGTTGAGAGGGAACCAATTATAATGGTTTTGTCGTGTATAATGAAGACCGATAGAAGCAACAGTGAGGATGTTCGATAGGATCGCGGTTCATGGAAACGCTAGGGAGGAGGGAAACACCTGCGTTGATATGGGATAGTATAGTAAATAAGGATAAGAATTTACTTAATTTAAGTGAGCTATGGCCCTTGATAGAGTATAACAGAGAAAAAAGATTCAGGTAGGTCACCTAATGTCATGACATTGAAGTCCAATCACTACCAAGATTTCCAATACAGTACCTGAATTTTCACCAATCAAATAACACCTAATCTCAAATCTTGTAATCATAAGTAAATGCTAGAGGAAAATATCCCAGTTCAGAAGAAACATTGCTAGAAATTATAGCAATATGAGGAATTCTACCTTCATAAAAAACACATCTCTGTGTGAACATTGTCACTTTTTTTTAACCAAAAAAAGAAAGAAAAAAAGAATGCCCTTCACATCTAATAATTGCCACATTCAATAACTACTAAATGGTTTTGTCATACTGCCCAAAATTGCAAATTAATTTACCCCATTCATCTGTCCAAAAACGTAAATTTAAAATTGGGTGAAGTACCAATAAATCCCAAAATGTGATATTGTGAACGGTTTAGTCCTCCATTTTTTCTTATAAACCCAAAGGTCCCCTTAAAGTAGAAATTACATAAAAGGGTAGTCACTTACATGTTTGGGTTTAATTTTTTAGGAATAAAAATGATTTTCTCAAAATGTAAAATTACACATTTGAACAATTTGCATTATAGAAGTTTTGAATTTTCCTTCATTCTAGAACAAATCACACATTACGAACAAAAACTGTAGCGACCCCGGTCTTTTTCCTTTTGGTTGTAGTATTCGGACTTAGTTCCGTGGATTCCGGTTGTTGTTTTGAACTTGTTTCTGTCCTTCAATTCTTTAAATTTGAGTTATAGAATGTTTTGGACTTGTTCGTTCCAGGTTGGGTGTGTTTGGGAGCAGGTGGTTGCTGCCCAGGTTTTTAGTCCTTCGCTCGAGCGAGATGTCTGTCGCTCGAGCGAGCGTGGAGTTTTGTGTCTGGTGGCTCGAGCCAGGGTTTCTTCGCTCGAGCGAGTGTTTGCGTCTAGTATAGACCTGAGAGCAGTGTTTCTTCGCTCGAGCGAGAGTTTCTTCGATCGAGCGAGCTTCTGGGTTGCAGACCTGAAGCATCGAGTTTTTGGCTCGAGCGAGCTTTTCTTCGCTCGAGCGAGGCTTTCCTGTGTCTGGTCGCTCGAGCGACCAAGTCTTCGCTCGAGTGAGCCTGTCCAGTTTAAATAGGCAGCAGCGGGTTTTGATCAGTCTTTTCATCCTCTTCTAGTTTCCAAACCCTAGGTCCGACTTCTCTCTCTCTAAACTCATCTTCTTTCTAGGTTTTCATCTACTTCTAGTGTGAATCCATCTTAAGTTCTTTGTGAGAAAGATAGAGGGCGGCTTGGGCTTCATTCTAATCTGAAAAATAGTGGATTTGGAGCACTTGGATTTCGGGTCATCATCTCTTTTTGAGTTCTCTTTTGAGGTAGGGATTCTCCTTGTTTCTTTTCAATACTTCGTCTATAGATAGACATGTGGTAGTTTTTGTATTGCATAAAAATTGTATCATGTTGGATTTGTGAAAATCATGGGACTGAACCTTGGGTTGGTTGTTGAATTTGGGTTTATTATCATTAGTTGTGGTTTGGGCTAATTGGAGTGTTAATTAGCATGTGGTTGTTGAAAGGAGAGGAAACTCTAAATTTTCTTATTTGATTTAATAAATTAATTGAGGGGTTTTGATCTTTGGGCAAATACTTAGGTATTTTGAGTCTTAATTGTGGTTATTGTTGTTTGTTGATGTTAATTGGGCCTTTTTGGTCAATATTGAGAAAGAGGAAGGAAAGACCCTAATTTATTGTTTATGACTTAATTTGCATAATTAGTTTGAAATGGCTTTGAAAAGAATGTAGTGAATTTAAATGAGGTATGGCTTTTGTCCATGGGAATGATTTTATGAAAACAAAGGAAGTGGAATTCATTTTGCGAAGTGGGAAAGGTATTCTGAAACAAGTATAATAAAATTGGAATGTTGTATCTTGAGTATTGAACACACTTGTGTGGGGTATAGCTTTAACTACCATGTTCATGTTGTTGCTGAGTTTTGTAATCTCATGTTAGTTGGGTCTGTTAATAGATGTATAATATGCATGCATCTAGAGATTTTGGTCAGGGGTGGAGGATGATATGGTTGTGTTGAATTGTTGTGTATGTATTACACCATTGTTGATTGAACATCATATGTAATGAAATGCTGAATTACATTATATTTGTATACCGGTTGGGGAGAAGAGAGGGGTTGTACTCCAATGTGTGTGAGAAGATAGGGGATGGACTCCACACACTTATGTGTTCAGCGCTTATAATCAGAGGTATCATACCTTTCCAGCTAGCGCCTGGAGAACTGACGCGCTGATAATCTAAGGTACCATACCCTTCCAGCTAGCGCCTAGTAAACTGGTAGATTGTTGTGAGAAGTGTATCTTTGGCTTACTACGCATATAGCTAGTAGTGCAGTGTTGTTTTGTTATTGTTTTAGTGTATCTAGAAACATTGTGGATTGTATTGGTTACAGTGTTGGAGGGACGAGTTGACTCATTGATTGATTTTATGTATGTAGTTGAGTTGTTATCTTTTTATAGAGGTGTGCATGGATAATTATGATATAATTGGAATTGCATTGAAATGCCAAATATGTTTTGAAAAGGCACATCTGTTGTATGTGTGGCAAATGGAAGAGTAATGGGCTTAGTGAATCTATTTTTCTAAGTAGTTGTTAATGTTATAAAAGATTGGGAACGGGGGTTAATGAAAGGAAAAAGGAAGGATAAATCGCTTATAGCGGTGAAATAAATGATCGTTTTCAAGAAAAGTTCATATATATATATTCATATATATATTTTGTATAAACAGTCACCTTATTATTTTAGTATGAGAATGGGTGTTCATGATCATAGCTATCTGTAATGTTGTTATTGTTAAGGAGCATGTTGAGTTCCCTACTGGACTATATGTTCATCCCACGTTGTTGAATCTTTTTCAGGTGTTTAGCAGGTTGTGCTACAGGATTTGGATCTTCTTATTTGTTGGCCACGGGGCCTCAGTTATGTTGGTGGAATGCCATTGTTGTAAAGGGTTACACCCTTCTTCTTGTACTTTTAATGATGTAAGCCCAAGGGCAATTTATTAAGTTAGTTCATGTAATATTTACTTTGCATACGAATGAGAGTATTGTTAATCACTTCTACTGATTGAATGTATGAGTTTATTTCCGCATGTTATCTCTGAAATTGAATTAAGTTAAAGAATTTGGTAATGACTCCGAGTAATAAAAAGTGGGGCGTGACAAAAACCTAAACTCTAATAATAACGTAACACTTTAATGTAACATACTAAAAAACTCATTGGTGTACTTTTTCCAAATGTAACAACGTAATACTTCAATCAATGTAATCCCAAACGTAACATTCCAATGTAATATACTCTAATATAACACACAAAAATACTAAAAAAAACTCCTTAGTGTACTTTTTTCAAACGTAACACTTACAATTTGAAATTATACATATGTTCAAAACTTACCAAGGAACATATGTACTCTTTTCGGAGTGGTTTGAAGAATCTCACATTATTATTATTATTATTTTTTTAGTGTTACATCGAAGTGTTACGTTTAAGAAAATTACACTAAGATTTTTTTTTGATTACATTGGAGCGTTATGTTTGGGAAAAGTACACCGAAGAGTTTTTTTGCTGTGTTACATTAAAGTATTACACTAAAGAAGTTTTTTGGAATATTATATTGAAGTGTTACGTATGGAAAAAGTACACTAAGGAGTTTTTATTTTTTTGTGTTACATTAGAATGTTACACTAAAGAGTTTTTGTAACCACCAAGGGGTCATCCTAGTTGGTAAGAGAGTATGCTTATCCCCTTACTGACCAGGGTTCGAATACCCTACTCCTCAAGTAGAAGTCTGACGGTTTAGGTGGATCGGCTAGCTTTTCCCAGTTTGGCTTGTAAGGGTGGATCCTAAGGGTCCTGCCTTGGGAGTGTACTGGGTATCAAAAAAAAAAAAAAGTTTTTGTGTGTTACATTAGCGTGTTACATTAAGGAATTTTTTTTAAATATTATATTAGAGTGTTACATTTGAAAAAAAGTAGATCAAGAAATTTTTTTGTATGTTATATTAGAGTGTTACACTAAGGAGCTTTTGTGTGTTACATTAGAGTGTTACATTAAGAAATTTTTGTGTGTGTTATATTAGAGTATTTCGTTTAGGAAAAATATACTAATAATTTTTTTTGTATTACATTAGAGTGTTACACTAAGTATCTTTTTTAGAGTGTTGTATTGGAGTGTTACGTTTGGAAAAAATATAATAAGGAATTTTTTTATGTGTTACATGAGTATTACGTTTGGATGTTAATTAATGTCAATGTTACAATAGGGACTAACACCACTCCAATAACACCCCAAACGGGGTAACATCATCTACCTACAAATCACTCCACAAAATCCCCACAAAAAAATAGAAACGTAAAAACTTACGTTACCTACGCACAACCAACATTAGGAAAAAATCCAAACAAAATCACATACAAGGGTAAACAAGCAAACGTTCAAACCCCTAAATTAAGGAAATAAAACATACCCAAAATAAGAATGACTAATTGGTTTGAAAGAAAACATCTAGGACTAAATGGAATAACTTTTCTCCTAATGGGATTTATGAGTAATTTTCCCTTTAAAATTATAATCGCATAGCATTTGCACCTACCACCAGTATATATGTATATATACATCTAGTCCCCAAATTACAAGTTATTCCGGTATCCAAAAATGCCGAATCCCAAACATGTGGTCAATTTGGACAGTTCACTTCATTCCAGGAATTCTACTAAGCATAGGATAAACATAGCCAACAAGTAATCCAATAATTTAACAAAACAAACAACAATGGCAAGTTTCCTCATAGAAGCATATTATGAAAATCAAATCACACCAAGGCTATATATACATCATTCTTGCACACTTCATATCACTGTGTTCAAATATAGCTGAACAAAGAAATAACCCAGAATTAAAATCAAACACAGAATTGTTCCACCATATCAAGCACACACCCATGTGTGTATACATTATACACATACATGGCTTAGAGAAGCGAAACCCAGAAGCAAAATTTAATCACAGTTACAAATTCAATAAAGGAAATGGAAGAAAAATGGTAGAATTTAGAATCAGTGATGAGAACAGCGAGTTGGGTCTTTACCTTTTGATTGGATTTTACGGTTCTGGCAAGAAAACTAACACCACAACCACGAAAGCTGTGTCATCCACGAAGAAGTACATTAGTATTTGAGAGGGTAATTTATAAATAAATTGGGCCGAGCTAAGGAAGAGGCTTCTTTGGAAATTAGGCCGCACGTTGGACCGAGATAGGAGCTGATGTAGCTCGGTCTAATTACTAACGAGCTTGGGCCGAGAGAAATTTGGACCGAGTTATGAGCCGAGGTGTTTAGGCTTCATAAGGTGGACCTCGCCCTTGTTAGCTCAGTCAAAGCTTGCTGTAGTTAGCTCGGTCTAAACAGACAAAACCGAAGTACCAGAGAACAAGAGCCAAGCTATGTGTTGCATATGGAGGCGCTGGATTAAGTATGACAATGTGCTAGTGTTAGCTCGGTCATACTGTTATCCAACCATGGTAAAACCATCTCACTTGGTTTAAGCAGTGAGGAGGGTGTTAAAGGATAAGCATTATCTTTCAGGAGTGTGATTCCTAGGAGGACTCTACATTGAGAAATAAGAGTCCTACTAGGATTGTGCCAGGCAAAAACTATAAAAGCTCTCAACAGAACCTATGTACAGGTAACACAACTTTGATTCTCAAATACACAGAGCTTTTGTCTATTTGTCTATTTTACTGACTTAGGTATCGGAGAGGTATCCGGCAGACACCCGCCGGTTAGCTCACGTTTGTGTTTCCAAGGAGTAAAGCGACGACGTTTGGAGGAGCGCAGACTTGATCAACAGGATTATACGAGAACATTATTTCGTGCTCATGCAATTGGCGCCGTCTGTGAGAAGTCCAAAAAGAACAAAACCTCTTGATCAAGCTTTCCTCTCTAGTTGGAAGCAATGGCGCACAATGAGGACTTGTCGCACTCAGCTATTGATGGGCAAACCCCAGAGGGGGGTGGGAGGCGTGAAGGTTTGCCTTCTATCCCTCCCATGGCGGATTTAGAACCCAGCGACAAAACCCCCGGAGGGATGCATGGGGGAGACGGGGCGGCAGCTCCTGTTGTTCTCAAAGTCCCAAAAGACAGAGGTAGAGGTTAGATCCTCAAGTTCTGAAGGATCGCGTGAGGGAGCAAGACGAGCTAATTAGGAAGATGGCAACAGACATGAAGACAATGAAGTGCCAGATAAAAGGGAAAATGGTGGTGACAAGAGAGGGGCACAAAGACAACACACCCCCTCGCCACTCGGAGGATCGTGATAGGTATACCACACCATCACAAGCAGAAAGTAGGAGCCTTACAACAGGCGACACTCAATCAAGGACCTCCAGGACTCGTTACTCTAGGTCTGAGAGAACGAGAACTGAGAGGTCGTGTACTAAGGGAAGCACATATCGGCCCTCGCACACGCACCAGACGGCATCTAGGCACACAGAGTTGCCTAGATCATCTGACTTGCGAATAGTACTAGAAGAAAGGGCCTGATGAAAGGAAGACACCAGGGCTCGCGACCCACGCAGAGTTTCAACACTACAGCGATTGGCCCTTCAGACACATGGAAGTGTCGAGGTAGGAATGCCAATGCCAATGCCGCGCGTTGCTTACAAACCAATGGACAAAGTATTAGCAAGGCTACAGAGCTCGTCGTTCGTTCCGGAAATAGAGAACGTGCCACTACCTTCAGGCTTCCACCAGCCTAAATTCACCACTTATGAGGGGAAGACAGATCCCTACATGCACTTGAGCCACTTTCGCCAGGTTATGGCAGTGTACCGGTGGAATGAGGTCCTGATGTGTATCCTGTTCCCATCCAGCCCTGGCGACCTAGGTCTAACCTGGTTCGAAAGACTACCAGAAGGCAGCATCGCCTCCTCGGCACAATTGGCAGAGGCGTTCGTGACTAGGTTCAGAATGAACACCAAGACACCAGTGGAGATCGATCAGCTGCTCTCCATTGACATGGGCGACAATGAGACGTTGAGATCCTACAGCAGTCGATATTGGGAGACTTTCAACCAGATAGGAGATTGCCTACAAATCTCGCCATCGCACAATACAAAAGGGGTCTACCAGTCGGAAACAAATTGAGGGACTCAATTACTATGACGCCACCCTTCACGATGGAGGCCCTAATGGAGAGGGTGCACCAACATATCCGCATGAAGGAAGATATCGGCCGGGCTAAAGTAAAATCTGGCTCAACAATAATGCAAGACAAAAAGACCGTAGCAAAAGTCAACACAATAGAACAATCAAACAGGAATGGGCGAGGCAGGCAAGCCAACAGGGAGGCCCCAAAAAAAGGAGGTTAAGAGTTCGTACTGCCATCACCACCGTGTTCAATAAACCCATCTATCGAATTCTCAGCGAGATAAAGAATGAACCCTTCGTTAGGTGACCAACCAAGTTGGGAGTAGCTCAAAGGGGCTACAACGAGAGGTCCCGCTGCACCATCCATGATGAGAAGGGGCACCTAACTGAAAATTGCACACCCTTGAGGCAACATCTGGAAGAATTAGTAGCTGCAGGTCACCTAGACCAGTATATTGAAGGGGGAACACAACCAGCCCCCCAGGACCTCGACGGGCCAAACGGGATGCCGATGGACGGACCAACCCAAGGCGTAATCAATGTTATTCATGGGATCATTGAACCTGAGCAGGTATGTGAACTCAGGAGGATGATAAAGAAGGCAGAGCACTTGAAGGAGGTACTAAGTGCACAACCCGCCATTAAAAAGGGCAAAACAGAGGCTACGAATGCCATCTCCTTCTCAGACAAGGACCTAGCAAGGCTACATTGCCCTCACAATGACGCACTGGTGGTAACCTTGCACGTCAATAACTTCGACATCAAGCGAATCCTGATCGACCAAGGAAGTTCGTGTGAGATAATGTATTATGAAACCTTCAAACATCTGAAACTAGAGGACAAAGACTTGGCCACTGCAACATCCCCCCTAGTTGGCTTTAACTCAATGCCAGAATGGCCAGTAGGTAAGATAATCCTCCCAGTCAAAGCTGGGACCATGACTAAACAAGTGGAATGCTGGGTGTTGAAGGTCGCTTCCACTTACAACATAATCCTGGTAAGAACATGGCTGCACGCCATGCGATCGGTAGCGTCAACCTACCATCAAGCACTGTGGTTCCCCAACGAAGCCGGAGTAATTGAAGAGGTCTTGGGAGACCAAATCATGTCAAAACAGTGCTTCGTCATAATAAATGGCAGCTGGGTATGTACAGATGGTAGAAGAGCCAGAGAGCAATGAACTATTTGCGGATGTTGGCAAGATAGCAGAACAGAAGGCAGTGGAAGACTTGGTGGAGGTAAGGATAGATGAAAAGAACCCAGAAAAGTTCTTTTTGCTCAGCTCGTCTTTGTCCAGCACTGAGAAAATAGAGATCATAGAATTCTTAACCTCTAACATCGAAGTGTTTGCATGGACACCATACGACATGCCTGGCATTGACCCAAACTTCATCTGTCACCAACTGAATGTCGACCCAATTGCTAGACCAATTATACAGTGTACTCGCAGATCAGCACTCCACCACGCGGAGATAGTGGCGGAGGAAGTGGGAAACTTGCTGAAGGCAGGAGCCATCAGAGAAGTACACTATCCCAGGTGGATATCCAATACTGTAGTAGTGCCAAAGAAGAATGGAAAATGGCATGTTTGCGTGGACTACAAAACAGTCAACAAGGCATGCCCAAAGGATAGTTTTCCCTTACCCAAGATAGACCAACTGGTAGACTTGATGGTAGGGCACAATCGACTTAGCTTCCTTGATACGTATAAAGGTTACCATCAGATCGCTATGTATGAGCCAGACCAGGAGGTCACATCTTTTACAACGCCCAGAGGATTGTATTGTTACAAGGTCATGCCCTTTGGCCTAAAAAATGCAGGGGCCACATTCTAACGGATGGTCACCAAAATGTTTGAACCATTGTTAGGAAAAACAATGGAGGCTTACATAGATGACATGGTGGTCAAAAGCAAGGATGAGAAAGATCATCTCAGGGACCTAGATGAAATGTTCCAAATCCTAAAGAAGAACAAGTTGCGTCTAAATGCATCTAAGTGTGCGTTCGGCGTAGGATCAGGCAAATTCCTAGGCTTCCTGGTGTCCAACCGAGGTATAGAAGCAGACCCCTCTCAGATCAAAGCAATCCAGGATCTAGAGAGGCCTAACACAGTAAAAGAGGTGCAGCATCTCACTGGCCTAGCTGCCGCACTCAACCGGTTCATAAGTCGGTTATTAGATAGATATCGACCATTCTTCCAAGCGTTGAAGGCCAAATTTGAGTGGGATAAAGAATGCGATCGCGCCCTAGAGAGCCTGAAAGACTATATGACTTCTCCTCCATTGCTAGTAACCCCAGTACCTGGAGAAGAACTCTTTTTGTACTTAGCAGTTTCACGGCATGCAGTTAGCGTAGTGTTGGTCAGAGCGGAAGGAATCCAACACCTGCCTATCTTTTATTTTAGCAAGAACTTGCTGGGGGTAGAAACCAGTTACTTACCATTGGAAAAGCTGGCCTTAGCTTTGATGATGACCTCAAGGAAGTTATCACATTACTTCCACGCCAACACCATAATCGTCCTGACAGCTTTTCCCTTAAAAGCTTCGTTTGAGAGGGCAGACTTTTCTAGACAAATCTTGAAATGGGCGATGGAATTAGGACAGTTCGACATCAAGTTTCAACCCAGAACAGCAATAAAAGCCCAAGCTCTGGCAAACTTTGTGGCTGAGTTCACACTAGGAAGCCATCACATCTGCCTAGTTGACTTAACCGATACAATCGAAAATGGGATGGAAAGTGTCGCAGGAATTGCGCAGGCCCCAAAACAAGATGCCCAGCCACATCCCAAGGCATACCAGATTGAAGAAAGAGAGGAAGAGGTAGACCATGCTATACCCAGCAAAGACTCATCAACAAGTAAAAACTTGGTATAGTCAGAGAGTGAAGAGCAAACCCCAATAGTAGGCATGGACTTGGAAGAAAACATCAGCAACACTCATGACCCCAAGACATCATCCGACCCCTTCACTTGCTGGAAGCTATTCGTTGGAGAGATGTGGAAGCTCTT